TTGCTTGATAATTATTATGATAGAAGGTCTTTAGTGAAACATGGAAAACAATCTTTTCTGCACTTAATATAAAATATTTCCTTTTTCTTTGTATTTTCTTAACACACAAGAAGCAAAAATGAATTCTGACAAAATGGCCTTTCAGGTTTTCAGAATTTATTGATATGTGGTGCTGAGAATCGAACCCAGTGCCTCACACATGCTAGGCAAGTGCTTTATCCAAATACATGAGAAAATTTGCACACTATAAATAATGCATACCTGAATAAAATCCACATATCATTATGACGTGTGCTACAAAATGGCCACTGCAGCCCCTTTGATTTCTTTTCTGAAGTTCTGAGTTCTTTCTTTTTCTGGTTACCAGAATCTGTGTGCATATACTTTGCTTGATAATTATTATGATAGAAGGTCTTTAGTGAAACATGGAAAACAATCTTTTCTGCACTTAATATAAAATATTACCTTTTTCTTTGCATTTTCTTAACACACAAGAAGCACAAAATGAATTCTGACAAAATGGCCTTTCAGGTTTTCAGAATTCACTCTGCAATTTTGAATACCTCAGGCAGGTACAAAAGCTATTTACAATCTCATATATGTTGGAAGACTGATTTCATAAAGAGTCCTTTTTCTATTTGAGCTATTGTATTTATTCACTTTTAAATATTTTAACAATTTATTATGATGTGTGCTACAAAATGGCCACCTGAAAAGAAGGGATGGCTTTAAGAACAGCTCCTACCCTGATCATTTAGGCTCTGTGAATATACCAAAAGTAGCTCACCATTCTTATTCCTCTAATTTAAAACAATTATACTATCTTTCTGATGTGTGGAATTTTTTGTTGAGGTGTGAAAAGATATTCTAATGATTCCTGGAGCACACAAAAAAAATGACCAATTGGGGCTAGGATTGTGGTTCAGCGGTAGAGCGATCGCCTAGCCTGTGTGAGGCTCTGGGTTTGATGCTCAGCACCACATAAAAATAAAATAAAGATATTGTGTCCAACTACAACTAAAAAATAATAAATATTAAAAAAACAATTTACAAAACAGAATTCTAACACTGGGAAATGAACTCATTGACAGTTTTAGGTTTTTCATTTGTTAGAATTTCTTGGACTTGTAATTCAAACTTAAAATACTAAGCCAAGGGCTGGGGATGTGGCTCAAGCAGTAGCGCGCTCGCCTGGCATGCGTGCAGCCCAGGTTTGATCCTCAGCACCACATACAAACCAAGATGCTGTGTCCGTAGAAAACTAAAAAATAAATATTAAAAAATTCTCTATCTCTCTCTCTCTAAAAATAAATACTAAGCCAATACTAAAGCTGGATGAAACTGCTAAAGACAACACATGCAGAAACATCAAGAGAAATGTAGAGAATGTCTTCCATTGCAAATGTTTTAATTCATTCTCTTTAATACTGAATTTATCATGTTTCTACCATATAGAATTCAAGAGATACTTTCATGACTGTTTTATTCATTTGGAGGAAACATTTATGATTAATCTGTATAAAAAATCTAAATCTAATCTGTTGCTTCAATTTGTAAATTATTCTAAATGATAAAGATAAGAAGGTAGAACACAGAAGAAATTAAGGCCAAAATCTCACTCCAAAGGGGTTTCTTTTGTGTTTTAAAAAGTTAAATGGCAATGTATTTTCAAATGTTAACTTAGCCTGGTATTATGCTTATTATTATAGGGAAGGATCTAATATTATACTTCAGGAGATATAAAAAGGGCCAACAATCAATACCCAAATTAGTAGTGGAACCAAAGAATAAATTATTACTCAGATGAAGAAAAAGTGGTAAAGGCAGTTAGAAATAGAAAGAAAGTGAGTAACCTAAAAAAACAATCAAGGTGAAACTGGAATACACTGAGAATAGTTAACAGTAACCCAGACTAACACTGGGGAGTTAATATGTACCTGAGAATATACTAGGAATTGCATATATGCATGCTCATTTAATCCAACACAAAAAAGTGAGGTAACTATCAGCATCATCTCTATTTTTCACCTAAGAAGTGTGGCTCAGAAGTGGCTTGCCCAAAGCCCACAGCCAGGAAGTAAGAGAACATGGGTTGCAACCAAGGCCTGACTACAAAGCTTGTATACTCTGTGAGCCAAATAAAGTATGAATTACCTTTCAGGGTTAAATAAATTAAGCTGAAATGTCTTATGATTTCTGAGATACATCTTGAAAAAGGAAATTATTTTGGAATCTTTTTCTCTTCTCCCAATCACAAGGTGGCTGGGGGAGAGCAGGGGAAGATTGGAATTAGGCCTTTAAAAATGAAGAGTAAACAGCTGAAAAACACATCATGACAAAAAAGAGCTAATATTAGTACAAGGAGATTATTTTAGGGAAGAATTTAGAAGAAGAGAGAACAAATTAAAAGTAAATTAAATTTCAAAAGGTAATAGCCGCATAATTAAAAAATGAAAACCATATGAAAAATTGTGCTGTACATGTGTAATAAGAATTATAATGCACTCTGTTGTCATATATAACAAATTAGAATAAAAAATGAAAAACAATGCTAAAAGATGTTCAGAAAATAGCCTCATTCTCACCCTTACTTCCATCCATCTCATTTTTCTTTTCTCATTAAAGGTAATAGTTCATATTGTTTCATGTATATCTTTCTGGAATTTCTTTATGCAAAATACAATTATTTATGTGCTTATTTCTCTCACTTCCTATATATACTATACACACTGATTTATACCTTGCTTCTCCTGCTAAAAATATAAGAAAAATTAACACTAAAATAACATAGAAGCCCTTTAGAGAATGATTTTAAAATATGACCAAAATCTATACTGACAAATAACAAACCCTAAAATTAAGCAGAATAAAATTAAATTCCAGGCTCCAAAATATGTTAACTTCTTTTAACCCCAAATCATCATTTCAGTTATTAGAAAGTACTGAATACTTTGTAATATAATTGCTTTTCTTTATTCTGTGTTTCCTCAAATATCAAATGGGTTTAATATAACTTTTTGAGTTTTAGGCAGTCTTCTTCTTTGGGTCTAGAAAGTTAGCATTAGTGTTACTAGGATTTTCTAAAACTAGTTTCTTTTTAATATTGCATATATTTAAGGTATATAACATGTTTTGATATACATATACATAGTAAAATGATTATCTGTCAAGTAAATAAACATCTATTTTCTTAGTTATCTTTTGTGCCTGAAATCTATTCACTTAACAAATTTCCAGTATACAATATTATTATTTGTAGTCATCATGCTGTACATTAAGTCTCTAGGTTTTCAATCCTAGAAGTCTTCAAATTAAGCCTCAATGCAATACTATTCTAATGAATATAAAGGAAACAGGTAATAATTTCTTACAGTGAGTCCAATTTTAGAAACTCAAACTATTTGAAAGATAAAACAATATCTAACCAAAAATTTGATACTTTACATATAGAACAAATCATACCACATGGCACTTTAAAAATGGTGATACAATTAAAAATAATGTTGTTAATAAAACATTGGAAATCAATGACCTAAATGAATACAATTATAGCTACCTATGCTGGAAAAATTGCAAAAGTTAAAAAACTGAACACAAATAATAACCAGCATTAATGAACAACAGATGAAATAACTGGTCAGAGGCTGGTAGTCATGGAGACAGCTTTTAGTCACCTCCAACACAGGTTCCAAGTTCGGAGGCTTCCTGGTATTTGATTTAATTACCAATGAGTCAAAGAATTCGTCATAACACTGAATAAGCCATAAAACGATGAGTTAGAATTGGAAAATTCAAAGCAAAATTTCACTTACCTTCCCTGTTAGAACTGAAGGAAATTCAGTATCAAACTTGTTGCTCAAGCCAAACCTTAAAAACAAAGAACAAAATATATTCTATCCAGCATATTGAACCTTTTTCCTTTCTTTAAAAAAAGTTACAAGCCTGTTTATTTTTCTTTTGGTTTTCTGATTTTAAAATGTCTCTTGAATATATGCATTTTTATGTTTTTGTACCAGTTTAAAAGAAACTTAATTTAAGAAATAGATACAGAGTCTTAAAAAACATTAAATTAAAAAACAAAATTGTCCTGGATTTTTTTTCTGGTACTGGGGGATCAAAGCCAGAGCCTCATGCATACTAAGACCAGTGCACTACACTCCCAGCCCAGTGGAGGAAAAATATGATAGTTATAGAAAGTAAATCTCTGACTTTTAATCCAAATTAATAGTAAAAGAACTTTTATAAGAGCAAATGTTGGGCTGGGGCTGGGGTTCAGCAGTAGCACACTTGCCTGGCATGTGTGAGGCACTGAGTTCTATTCTCTGCATCACATATAAATAAGTAAATAAAACAAAGGTCTATCAACAACTAAAAAAATATTTTAAAAAAGAGCAAATGTCATAATAAAAATACCCCTCTTTACCATTATTGTAGCCTTTGGAACTATATGACTTAATAACTTGTGAATAGTTACTTTTAATATACTCAAGGATTGATCCTTATGAGTGGCTTTCATGTATTCAATGAATTTTAAGAAAACAGATTTCACCCTCTAAGGCTTTCTCTTCAATTATGCTCACTAAAATATGTAGTAAGAAGTCAAAACTTAACACACACACACACACACTCACACAGCCAATAAATGGGCAAAAGAACTAAATAGACATTTCTCCAAAGAAGAAATACAACGGACAATATATGAAAAAATGTCCAACATCCCTAGCAACCAGGGAAATGCAAATCAAAACAACACTGAGATTCACTCCAGTTATAATGGCAATCATCAAGAATAAAAATAATAATAAATACTAGCAAAGATGTGGGGGAAGAGGTACATTCATACATTGTTAGTAGTACTGCAAAGTACCACAACCATTTTGGAAAACACTATGGAAATTCTTCAAAAGACTAGGAATGGAACCACCATATGACCCAGAAATCCCACTCCTTGGCATTTATTCGAAGAAACTGAACTAAGCATACTATAGTAAAGCAGGAACACCACTGTTTATAGCAGTGAAATTCACAATAGCCATTTTATAGAACCAGCCCATCAACAGATGAATGGATAAAGAAAATGTGGGATATAAACCAACGGAGTTTTATTTGGTTGTAAAGAACAACAAACTTACAGCATTTACCAGTAAATGGATGGAACTGGAAAGTATCATGCTAAATGAAATAATCTCAGAAAGTCAAAGATCAAATGTCTTCTCTCCTTTGCAGAAGCTAGAGAGAAATAAGGAAATAAAAGGGGAAGGATCCCATGATAAAAGAAGAAGGATCAGTGGAGTAGAGGGAGACTGAGAGGGGAGGAGGAGGGATGGGAAAATGAGGAACTGTGGAATGAAATTGACCAAATTATGCTATATACATATATGAATAGACCACACTGAATTCACTTTTTTATGCAAATCTATAAAGCATCAATTAAAAAGACAAGAAATACAAGGAAAACCACTATAGTACAGGAAGGAGGGCAGGGGAAGTGAGGAAAGGAGGGAAAGTGGAAATACTGGGGATTATAATGGAGCAAATTATATTCCTTGTATATATGAATGTGAAAATGAATCCTATTATTATGTATAACTATAATACACTAATAAAAATATTTTTAAAGAAGTCAAAATGAATTTTATTAGCTTTTCTCACCTATTTGTTGATTTCAGTAGGGACAACATAGTTATTTCCTCAATGTCACACCATATCATAGTGATTACAATTTTACACTAGAGGATGATAGGTTGTAAACAAAAACATTGAGAACTCCATGAGGAAGGTAGTAAGAGTAAAAGTTACCAATAACTATGTACTTACCATGCTAAGTATATTACTACAAAACTTTAAAAGCTCTCAAGATAAGTATTATTATCCCCATTTTGGGGGCAAGGAAGCTGACAATAGAAAAAATAAATAAATACATTAATTACATGACTTGCTCAAAGTCATGTATATACTAAATAAGTGGGGGAAAACAAAATTCATATGCTGATCCCTATGCCTTTTCTGTTCTGTATTAAGCTCCTTGAGAACAGAAACCATGGGTTATTTTGCTGCTTCCATTATAGATAATACTATAATGCAATCCAGTAGTTTTTTTCAGTACCAGGGATTGAACCCAGGGCACTTTACTACTAAGCTACATGTGGTCCCTCCCCCAGCCTCCACACACTTTTTTTTTTTTTGAGACAGAGCACTTAACCACAGAGCCACATCCCCTGCCCCATTTTTATATTTTATTTAGAGACAGGGTCTCACTGATTTGCTTAGGGGCTTGCTTAGCTACTGAGGCTGGCTTTGAACTTGCAATCCTCCTGCCTTAGCCTCCAGAGCAGCTGGGATTATAGTCATGTGCCAGGCTAAAATCTGATATTTCTTAATAGATGGAATATTTATTAAGCTTATTATATATATATGTATATGTATATATATATATAAATGTTGTGGATGAACCTTTATTTTATTTATATATTATATATACACACATATATATGTTGTGGATGAACCTTTATTTTTATTTATTCATTTATAATGCTGAGGATAGAACCCAGTGCTCTCATACATGCTAGGCAAGATCTTTACCACTAAGTCAAAACCCCAGCCCCTGATTTTTTTGATGCTGCCATTTTACTGAAAATAATTTTTTATTCAGCAAAGATAAGTTCTTCTTGTCTTATTTACTGCCAAATTTAATGTCCTCCTCTAAGTAGAAAATTTTTCTCTTGACTTTGCAGCTGTGACACTGTTGATGATTTCCTTCTTAACATTCCTACTCTTTTCATTCTATACCAACTCTCAGCTTTAACTCATTTGCTTCACAAAGGCAAGTCTGCAGTTCATTAGCATCTGATAGCTTGGACAATCTCACCTATGCTAATGCCATCCAATCTATTTTCTCTAGTAACAGGTATTTTTCCAACATGCTCTAGTCCTTCATCTTCAATTGTAAAATGAAATTTTCCATTTGGATATCTTGCCACAAAATAATACATTGTCAGGCTGGAGATGTGACTCAGTGGTTAAGTACCCCTGGGTTCAATCCCTGGTAACAAAAGAATATATGACGTCAAGTAAAACATATCTAAAATTAGATGTAACCCTTTCTTGGAAACTGTTTCCTCTTTGTACTTTACTGTCTTCCCTTAACCTAGACCTTGGTATCATTTTTTTGCACCCTCCCTCTCCTATTTTTTGCACCTTTATTAAAGTAAATATTCCCCAAATCCAGTCACTTGCTCCTTTAAATTCTCATAATGATTCTTTCCTTCCCATTGCCACTGCCTTGGTCTTTGCCCATGATTTTCTTGCTTCCTGTCCTTAGTTCAAATTGTACACAGCCTTCAGTTCCAACTCCACTATAATGCCTTGAATGCTCAAGTTAATATGGATTCCCTTTCTCTGAACACTCATAATCACTTCTGATCTGTATTACACAATTCAGCAATTAAAATATTATCTTTAATTCTTTGCTGCCCCATATAAAATATTGAAAAGGAAATGTTCTGGTTAGGTTTGTAAAGCCAGACCTGTATTTTGTTTTTTCTGTATTCTTCCTAGTACTTAGCCCCAGTGCTGAAGTTCTTAAGAAATATTTGCTATATTAACATTACTGATTTTTCTCTAATATAAAAATTGTTATTTCTAAAAAGGTATATTAGAAATGGTAAAGAAAGTATTATTTTACTTCCTAAATCACTCCCTGGTGACCTATGTACAAGTTGCCCCTGTCAGTATTCTATGAGGAATTGATTCCAGGCCCATCTTGGGTATCAAACTTCTTAGATGTTCAAATCCTTTATATTAAAACAACACAGTATTTGCATATAACATATGCATACCCTTCTGTATACTTCATATAATCTCTATTATTACTTACAATAACTAATACAATATAAATTCCATGTAAATGTTACATTGTATTGTTCAGAGAATAATGACAAGAAAAATGCCTGTACGTGTTCAATATGATGTGATTTTTTTTCCAGATATTTTTGATGTGCAGTTGGTTCAATCTGTGGATGTGAACTAACTATATATCCACATCAAAAAAGTATGAAGAAAAGCAAACTATGCTATTTCTCTCTTATAATTTTGGCTAAAAGTAGCAATCCTGTTTTTGCCTACCAGGGATTATTTTTCTCTAACTTTTCTCTTTAGAAACTGAGCACATAAAGAGAATATTTAACTCAAAGAACCTTAGGCCCAAGAATTTCACTTACTAGCCACTAGCAAAATGCTGAAATGATTGCTGATGAATAAAATACCTCACCTGTTTCATAAACAACCCATTAAGAACTGTGAGTCCACAGAGGTTAGACAATCTCATCCACTTATTATTCATCATTGATAGATATTAGCCCAAGATGTGAGGCTCTTTAGTATCAGACAAACAGGCACTTGGGAACTGCTCAGGCTGCCATTTTATCGACTTCATTAAATATAGAATCTGTTATGTGTTTGAAGCCAACCCAGCTGGTGATTCTCAATTATTGCATTTTCTTTGTAAGTGTTTTCTTTTTTTAATATTTAATTTTTAGTTATAGATGGACACAATATCTTTATTTTATTTTTTATGTGGTGCTGAGGATAGAACCTAGTGCCTCAGGCATGATAGGTGAGCGCTCTACCTCTGAGCCACAACACCAGCCCTGTCAAGTGTTTTCAATGCCCCAATTTTTAATTTCTTGGAACAATTATTTGTAGTAAAGGAGATTGAGGCAAAGAAGAATGTGTCCTTTTAGTTGCTCTTCCCTCTTTTTCCCTCCCTTTTCATCTTTTTGAAAACAGCTATACGTCAGCCTTTCAAACCTTGCACAAATTAAAGTTCCTGTGCCCAGGTTGCTTAAGCATAATAAAATTCTGCCAACACGAAACATGATTTCACTAGAAAACTTAGAATTAAGTCTGAAGCACATGCTCTGAATTCTATTTACTTTATCAAGGAAAGACTATGCCATATAATATAAATTTTTAAAAGATTCTATTTAGATCTCACTTATCTTTCATATGGAAATAATCATGTCTTTCTACACTGTAACAATGGCAAGTCAGATAGCTTCAGCATTCTCAAAGCCTAAAACCTTATGAAATATTCACTACACATAAATGCAAATTAACAATGCATCACTGTAATGCCTCAAAAACAGCTGACAGACGAGGCATTCCATTTACTGATTTGGGAAGTATCAAAAATTTGCAGTGCTAAGTTTTTATAGAAATGTGCTGTTTGGCAAATTTGGCCATCTTTTTCTTTTCCTTTTTTCTTTGGTACTGAGGATTGAACCCAGAGGTGCTCAACCACTGAGACACATTCCCAGCCCTATTTTGTATTTTATTTAGAGTCAAGGTCTCATTGAGTTGCTGAGGCTGACTTTGAACTTGCATTCCACCAGCCTCTCAAGCCTCTGGCCTCAGCCTCCCAAGCCTCCAGCCTCAGCCTCCCAAGCTGCCAGAGCCGCTGGGATTACAGTCCTGTACCACTGCACCCAGCCATCTTTTTCAATTCTATATCTAATAACTTCAGCTTTTTTAGATTAGTTTTTTAAAATATTTATTTTTTAGTTTTAGGTGGACACAATACCTTTATTTTATATTTATGTGGTGCTGAGGATCAAACCTAGTGTCTCATGCATGCTAGGTGAGTGCTCTACCACTGAGCACTGAGCCACAATCCCAGTCCTTAGATTAGTTTTAATGAAATGATTTTATGAATCCCTGGGATTTGGTTAATCTAGAACCCCTACTAATTTCTATACAAGTGTGCTATCAAGAGTAAACATCCATGTTTTAAGAAATATAAAGAATGTGGTAATGTCTATAAATAGGGAAAAAAAATCTCATGAGATGTATTTTTTTCTGTATTTCAACACATTGGATCCAAATAGTTCTCCTAAAAATATCAAGAAGAAAACCGATAGAGGCCTGGGAATATAGCTCGGTTGTACAGTGTTTGCCTAGGATGTGCAAAGCCCTGGGTTCAATCCCCAGCATCAGCAAAAAAAAAAAAAAAAAAGAAAGAAAACTGATAGGTATACTTACATGCAATATCACTCACACTGGGCTGGGATTGTGGCTTAGTAGTAGAATGTTTGCCTAGCACATGTCGGGGTTTGATTCTCAGCACCACATAAAAATAAATAAATTGATGTCCTTTTGGACCACAGGGCTCTTCCCAGATCAGAGAAGCCCAGGTGTAGGCTCTACCAGAGCCAGAGGGACAACTCATCCTGGGAACTGCTCTGGGGCTGGGAGAGCAGCAGAGCCCACCAGGCCTTAGCATTAACTGGACCTGAGGAAGCTGCTGTCTTCTTTCCTGCCCCATGAGCAGCTCCATCCCTGGCAGGCTGCCCTGCCAATCCACTCCATTTTGTTCACGTTTCCTTTCCACTCTTCCTGCCAAGAGCAGGCCCCTGGCTCTGTCCTGGGGAACGTGTATTTAAGAGAGACCTACACTGGTATTAAAGCTGGTTAGTTTTATAAAAATACATAAATAAAATAATAAATAAATTAACTAATTAAAAGATTGTGTCCAACTATAACTAAAAAATTACTTAAAAAAGCAATAAAATGTAGCAGAATTGAGAATGAATACTAACACAATACTTAAATTTTTAAGTATTTACAATTCAAGCAAATAAATATGAGGAAGTACTCTTCAAAACCCAGAGAGCTATCAATTTTTCTTATTTTTCTGCTTTGCAACTAAAATGTTATGAAGTCCCTTCTCATTTTATTTTATGAAATATGATATAAGATTTCAATTTTTAAAAAGCCATACTGGCAAATTTTTAAGAAACCATCCTCAACTTCTGGAGGATTAATTTCCACATACATTTAATATTAATATATTTAGTATTAAGGCAAAAAAAATCCACTGGAGATATTTTAAACTATCACGTAGCTGAAAGGTTTTAGAAACAACCTACTCCAAATCCTCATTTTGTATATTAAGAAACCAAGGCCCACACACGGGAAGCAAATGACCAAGGTCACTGGGCCAGGAAGAAGCACTCGCACTTGCAAGATACCCCAGACTCAATCCCCTGCTCTATTTCCATAGCTGCCTATATTTAAGGAACGTCAGACTGAATAGTGCTCTAAACAGGGGAAGAATGACTGTATTCATTCATATAAGGATTAGACAGGAAGAATGGATATGCAGGTGGATGGATGTTTACATTATTCAGAAAACATCACGTTTCTGTTTTTTAGAATCCAAACCTTTTGAACAACCAATAAATAAATAAATAAATAGATAGATAGATAGATTAATTAATTAATTAATTATTTTTAAAAAAGAATCCAAACCTAGTTCTCCTCACATGTCACAGCAGTCACCGTTTTTCCACTAGGCACCGATCCTGGCAGCAAAGAACCCTCTAGTACATCCTGCAGTTTAGAAAATATTCACTTGCCACCATACCTACACGAAAGGAAACTCACCCCTACTCCAATACCTCTCTCTGGCTTTCAAACCCCTAAGTTCCCAGTCATACGCTTACTCTTCACACGCTCACATTCTCCTTACTTACTTTATTCCTATTCACCCTCGTTTCTCCCTTTTGGCCAGGTACGCCTCAGTCAGCCCTCCCCCCACTCCACAGGCCCCTCGATCGTCTTCTCATTTCTCTGTCTCCAAATCCCAGCCTTTTTTCAAACCTCATGGCCCCCTCTTGCTTACACAGTGATGTGGCCTGCGCCGCGCACCAGTACAGGGTCCGGGGCATATCTCCGCAGATGCTCCTCGCTCACTACCCGAGGCGGGGGCGGCACCTCCTCCTCCTCCTCATCTTCCTCCTCTTCCTCCTCCTCCTCTTCTTCCTCCTCCTCCTCCTCCTCTTCCTCTTCTTCGTCATCATCAGGCCCAGAAACAGACGACAAAGACGACGGCGGCGACGACGACGTAGCGGGTTCTTCTTCTTCCTCCTCCTCCAGTTCCGAGATGGTGTCGAACTCCGCCATGTTGGGCAGCAGGATGCTCATCACGTGACCTGGAGATCGCCGCCACTCTCACCAAGAAGAGTTTGAACCTGCGGAGGTGCTGGAAGAGGAGGGGGAAGAACTGAAGAGAAAGAGGCGGGGGTGGGGATAGGACTTGAGGAGACGCGCCTGCGTGTTGTGCAGATCGATTGTGGCAGGGATGTTGGAGGCGGGGGAATGAGGGAGAGAGGTGCAAAATCAGTGTACGCTTGCGCAGCTCCAAGGGGAGGGGGCCTTTAGAGGTGAACTGCAGGGAATTTTCGAGGTCCGTTGGCAGGTGCTGCTCTTTGGGTGTCAGCTAGTTGTATTCCTGGGATGTACTTCTGATTTTTATATCCTGTTAATTAATACTGGGTCTTATTATTCTCAGTGGAGGCAATTGAAGGAAAGCACATTCTATAATAGTGAGCTTAGAACTTTGCCCAGAATATCTCAGGGTATACGTGTATCAATATCTGACGTTTGTTCAGTATTACAGTGTAAGAGATCTGCATTAGAACTTTGCCACAACTTTAGAAGCAGGGTGAACATTTTTATTAACATGTTACTAAAGAGGGAACATTCGTGGAAGACTTAATACTGGTCAGAGAGCTCTAACTGTGTATCTTATTTAATCCTCCACAACCCTGTATGATGATCTCATATTACACTTGGGAAATGTAATTTTTTTCTTGTTATTTTTAGTTGTAGCTGGACACAATACCTTTGTTCTATTTATTTATTTATTTATTTAGTGCTGAGTTTGGAACCCAGTGCCTTAAACGTGATAGGCAAGTGCTCTAACCACTGAACCACAACCCCAGCCCAGGAAATTTAAATGGAGAGAGAATAAATGACTTGTAATGGAGCTACTAATGGCAGACCTGGTTTTTTATTTTATTTTATTTTTTAATTTTTGGTACCAGGGACTGAACCCAGGGGTGCTCAACCACTGAGCCACATTCCCAGCCCTTTTAATTTTTAAAATTTTGAGATAAGGTCTTGCTAAGTTGCTTAGGGCCTCACTAAATTGCTGAGGCTGGCTTTGAACTTGCAATCTTCCTCCCTCAGCCTCCCAAACTGCTGGGATTTCAGGCGGTGGCCACCACACCAGCTCAGACCTGGTTTTAAATTTGGGAGTCCTTTCTGATTCCAGAAGCCCAGTAGCTTAACCAAAAGACCATACTGCATGAAGTTGTTTAGAAAAGTTTTGTAAAGTGGTGCATTTTAGGCTGGTTCTTGAAATGTGACTGAGAAAGAATATGCAGATTTGGATTTGAGGAATTTGTTGGGGGTTGGGTGGATGGAGGGAGTGTAGGAAGCATTCTAATTTAAGGAAACATTAATTAACATTATCCATTTTCCAGACTCTGAGCTACATTCTTTCACATACAGTGTCTTTGTTAACCCTTAATCATGTGAGGTGAGGTAGGCATCATCATACCTATTTTACAGATTATAAAACTGAGTCTCAGTAAATTTTAAGTAATTTGTTCAGATCTATGGTGATCTTTTTTCATTTCAAATGTCTTCTCCACACCATTAAAATGTTTTAGAGATCACATATTTTAAGTGTACAAATAATGTGCCAAACTGGTTTGTATTTGGCAGCAGAACAAAATTATTAAGGCAATGAAGTCACACAGCTACTAATTAGCAGAACAATTATTGTAATCCAGGTATTCCAAATCCAGCGTTTTTTTTTTTCTTTGCTCTTTTTACTCTTTTTTTTTTCTCTTTTTACCCTACAGCTGCATTTGGTTCTTCTCTTTCAAGAAGCAAAAAGAGGGTCGGGGATTTAGATCAGTGGTAGAGTGCTTGTCCAGCATATGCAAGGCTCTGAAAAAAAAAAACGTAGAAGAGACTAAACCTTTTCCAAACATATTATCCATAAAGTAAACGTCACTAAGTCATTGTCTAGAGGGAAAAGTATTTTCCTGATGGCTCTTGCCATGGTAGTTTCTCTTTTCATGACTCAGAATCAGGGCAGGAAGGGAATATTTGAAGGAGAGAAAAGGAAAGGGGTAGGGATAGATTTTGTGACAAGTGCAAATAAGGTACCAAAACTATAATAAAAGTGAAGGGGCTGGGGTTGTGGCTTAGCAGTAGAGTGCTGGCCTAGTACATCCAAGGCCCTGGGTTTGATCCTCACCACCACATAAAAATAAATCAGTAAAATAAAGATATTGTGTCCAACTACAACTAAAAAAAAAATAAATAAATATTTTTAAAAAATAAAAGTGAAGAAATGGTAGCTATGGGGGATGGAAAGGAAAGAGGGGAGATAGGGAAATTCTGTCAAAGTGGAAAGAGGCCCCTGACTTTAAGTCAGATGTCAAAAGGACAAAGCAATTCAGAAAGTGCTATGCTTGGCTAAATGCACAAGTATAGTCAAATCAGCTAGTTTTCATGCTTATACATTGTGCTGAAAAGGCATATGTGATTCCAAAGGTAATTTGTTTTGCTGAACTATAGGAGAATTTGAAATTGCACAAACTAAGAGCAACACATTTTTTTTATTCATTGTCAGTAAACATAAGAGACACCACATATTCAGAATGATACTTCATCATTGAGAATAGTAAATGGAAGAGTGGATAGAGATGAAAACAGGCTATGTAACATTCTGTCTACATGATGTGGTAAGGAGCACATAGGGACAATTATTCCATCTATTGGTTGGGGATCTGAGGCATAGGTCACAATTTTAATGATCTGGGAAGATTTTATCATTGAAACAACTGAAAAGAATGGTAACATTTTGGGGCTGGGGTTGTAGCTCAGTGGTAGAGCGCTTGCCTAGCACATGTGACACTGGGTTCATCATATAAAAAAATACGTAAATAAAATAAAGTGTTTTTTAAAAGGATAGTAACATTTTAAAGATAGATTAAAGATTATTTTACTTATTAAAACATGAAATTCAGCCGGATGCCTTGGCACACTCCTGTAATTCGAGCTGCTCTGGAGCCTGAGGGAGAGAGGATTGCCTGTTCAAATCCAGCCTCAGCAACGATGAGGCACTAAGCAACTCAGTGAGACCCTGTCTCTAAATACATTGAGCCACATCCCAGCCCTAATGTTTTTCTTCCCTATTTTATATTTTATTTAGAGACAGGGTCTCATTGATATGCTTAGTGCCTCGCTTTTGCTGAGGCTGGCTTATGGATTGTGATTCTCCTGCCTGAGGTTTTGGAATTACAGGCATGTGCCACCACACCTCACACCAGGGATCCAACCCAGTGCCTCACACATGCCAGGCAAGCACACTACCACTGAGCCACTATCCCAGCCCCTACCCCTACTATTTCTATGAGACAAATTGCTCAACTTCTGGGTCTGGGATTGTGGCTCTGCTGTAGAGTGCTCACCTAGCACTTGGGAGGCCCTGGGTTCAATTCTCAGCACCACATAAAAATAAATAAATAAAATAAAGATATTGTGTCCAGTTACAACCAAAAAAATAAATATTAAAAAAATTTGGGGGGCTGGGGATGTGGCTCAAGGGGTAGCACGCTCGCCTGGCATACGTGCGGCCCGGGTTCGATCCTCAGCACCACATACCAACAAAGATGTTGTGTCTGCCAAAAACTAAAAAATAAATAAATATGAAAAAAAAATTGGGGGCTGGGATTGTGGCTCAGCGGTAGAGCACTCGCCTAGCACTGGCGGGAACCGGGTTCGATCCTCAGCACCACATAAAAATAAAGGCATTGTGTTGTGTCCATCTACACCTAAAAATAAATATTTTAAAAAATTTTGTTTTTCAACTTCCACATATAGGTGAGACCATGAGGTATTTCTGTTTCTGTATCTGGCTTATTTCTTTTAGAACAATGACCTCCAGTTCTATCCATGCTGCTGCAACTGACAGAATTTCATTCTTTTTATGGTGGAATAATATTTCATAGTGTTTACATACCATATTTTCTTTATCTATTCATCCATGGTGGACACTAAAGTTTATTCTATATCTTGGCTATGGTGCAATAAACATATAAGTGCAGATGTCTTTTTTTTAGTATCAGGGATTGAACCCAGAACTCACAGCATATATACATACACATATCCCCAACTCTTTTTAATATTTTATTTAGAGAGTTGATGCATTTTGATTCGATTTTGTGTATGTCTAGAGATAAAGGTCTAATTTCATTTTTCTGCATATGGATATCTAGTTTTTCCAAGCACCATTTATTGAAAAGACTTTCCTTTGTCTAACATTCATTTTTGCTGACTTTAAAATATCAGTTGGTTGTAAATAAATAAATTCACTTCTGGGTACCTCTGTGTGTTTGGGTTTTTCTTGGCAGGGTCTGGGTTCAAACCCAGGCCCTTGGGCATGCAAGGCAAACACTCTGCCATCTGAACTATACCACTAGCCTACTCTGTGCATCTTTAATTTCATCAATACCATGCTGGTTTGGTTATAATAGCTTTATAGTATTTTTTGAAGTTGAATATTGTGGTGATTCCAGCTGTGTTCTTTTTGCTTAGAATTGCTTTTGCTACTCTGCTTCTTTTAGGGGTTCATAAAAATTGTAGTAGTGTTTTTTCTATTTCCGTGAGAAATGGTCCTTGGTATTTTGATATGGATTACTTTGAATTTGTATATAGCTTTGGGTAGTGTAGACATTTTAACAATATTAATTCTTCCAATCTATGAACATAGGATATTTTCCCATTTGTATGTGTGTATATGTGTGTATACCTTTCAGTTTCTTTCACCAGTGTTTTATCATTTTCATTGTAGAGTTCCTTCACATTCTTGATTACATTTATTGGTAGGTATTTTATTTTTTGGTAGCTATTTTAAATATTGCTTTTTTGATTGCTTTTTTAGCTAGTTTATTATTGATATATAGAGATACTACTTATTTTTGTATGTAGATCTAGTATCCTGCCACTTAAACTTACTGTATTTGTTTATCAGTTCTAATGAGTATTTGGTGGAGTCTTTAGGTTTTTCTATGTATAAGGTCATAACTTCAAACAGGAATAGTTAATTTCTTCCCTTTCCAATTTGGATTAACTTTCTTTCTAGCCTTTGCCTAATTGCTCTGATTAGGACTTCTAAAAGCTCTTGTGTGAAGGGCCTTGGGCATGAATATTTAAAAGTAAAATGATTGGGTGGGGAGTAACTGTAGGCAGATAGGGTGTGGCTAGAGCTGGGTATTGGGGGGGTATATATTTTGAATTTGGCTAT